TGCTTAAGATACAGATGTAAATTTTAAAGCCAGGGTTAAAAGCAGTTCCTAGCTTTTCATTTCTGCATTTAGGCACCAATGATTTTTCTCTGGCATGTGTGGTGCCCTTAGCATCAGAGCCTAATGCAAATCATACCTCATCCAACCCCGACTTCTCTTGTCACTATGTATGTGCCAATTTCAGCAGTGATTTCTAGAAATGTTAGTAAGGGGAAAATAGCACCTCATTTCAAGGAGATTGTCAGCACCTTAAGAAAATAATTCATTTAGATGCATGGGAAAAAGTATCATACCTACTGGATGCATGGAAAATGAGATTTCACATTCCCTTTACCTTTCTTCCCACTAATTCTACCTTTCTCCTCATTTCCTCAAGCACACAACACACATATTAAGAGTTTATCAGCAAACCTCTTGGATAATCAGATGATACATCCAAAATGTTGCTGTCGGATTCCCTTGTGGATTCTTCCTCCATTCCTTTTTCATCAGTTTTCAGTTCTGACTTGGCAACTTTCATACCCACATTGTTGTTTTTCGCATTTCCAGAAACAACCAGGCCATCTTAACAAAATCAAACAGACAAAAACCCAGTAAGAGTGTTGTTGATAGAACTGAATTATACTAATATATTTGTTTCCAATAATTTGGTGCTTCCAACAGGCAAAACTGATTACAAGTGTGAAGGAAAACAGGAATACACGAACAGTATGTTGGAGAATAATACAAGATTATTATCACTCAGTCTGAGAAATAATGCCATCCTGTACAGGCAAAACTATTCACCTGTCTGTATCATCAGATATTTGAAGTTAACAAAGTAGTATTTACATGCTATTTTCTAGCAAAATGCAGTGCTAGCAGGACAAAGCAGGCAAGCAGGAGGCTTAAATACTCATAACAATGTATTAGTGACTAAGAAAATTTGAAGAGAAGTTTAGAACCGTTAATAACTAGCTGAACAATCCGAAAGGAGAGGAGTAAAGAAGGAATTTGCTACCATCAATGGCCATAGTGAGGGTTAAGTGCTGGTGCCATTAGCAAATGAATTACTTCTCTGGGGTACTCATGTGCCTACATGTGACTCAAGAATTTAAAGGAGACTTAAGAGGCTGAGCAATTGGGCAATAAATTGAGAAAAAAGGTCATGTGGTGGACTTGGGGATAAAGCCCAATACTGATTTTCCTGTCCAATGCATGGACTCAGAACTGAGCATCACCAGTCAGGACAACCACTTTGGGATTTTAAAACCCGGGTTTGACGAAAGTAAGAGATATAAATCCTCAAAAGCAGTAGGTTCCTCTCCTCACAGACAGGTGTTGGGAAGTAGAATCATAGAATAGTTAGGGTTGGAAAGGACCTTAAGATCATCAAGTTCCAAACCCCCTGCCATGGGCAGGGACACCTCACACTAAACCATGTCACCCAAGGCTCTGACCAACCTGGCCTTGAACACCACCAGGGATGGAGCATTCACAACTTCCTTGGGCAACCCATTCCAGTGCCTAACGACCCTTAAAGAACTTCCTCCTTATATCCAATCTAAACTTCCCCTAAGTTTTAACCCTTTATCCCTTGTCCTATCACTACAGTCGCTAATGAATAGTCCCTCCCCAGGATCCTTTTTTGAGGAATAACTCAAGACAAGGGAGGCTGTCAAGAAGTACCAGGAAAGGATGCTGAAATCCACATTAAACCGGCGCTCTGAAAGATACTGCCCTGACCTCCAGGCTTCAAAGGGACAGGTAGAACAAGGAAAGTTTCCAAAAAGGGTAACAAGAAATAACAAAGCTATGGCATCACTTCTTAGCCATTGAGAAGCAACAGAGCAGACTATGACTTTTCAACCCGGGTAAGACAGATGTCTACAAGATCATGAGATGCTGAGAAAGGAGAGAAGCCAACCACTCACTGTCTATTCCAACACAACTGGGATGTACCCCGTGGAGGTATCAGCTGGAAATCCATAGAAGAAAAATGTTCTCTATGTGAACTACTGTTAATGCTGTGGGCCTCCCTGCCACAAGCTGCTGTGGATGCTGCAAGCCTCCCTGTGCCAAAGTGATAATTTTGTGGATGAGAAATCCACTCTGAGACTTCATGAAAATATGAACTTTGGTTCAAGAAAATTGGGATTAACAAATTGTTTTGTGTTTGAAGATATTTCCGGAGGACGCATTAATGTATACTTGCTCTGACTTGCTAGTCTTCCCTAGCCATCTACTCCTGGTCACTAGTGAAGCCATAATAAGGGGTGGAACCTCTTAAAGCAGTTCTTTTAATTCCCCTGGGGTTTTTCAATTGCTTACTTTTAAGCATTGCAGCTGGATACAAATCTTTGCTATTACATATAAAAAACCCCAAACACAACAACAAAACTCAAGAGGAAATTGAAGGAATACCTCAAGACAAGGGAGGCTGCCAAGAAACTGTTTAGAAAGACAAACGCACAGAGTAAAATTATTTTATGTACCTTAAAATTTATCAAGACCAGCACTTCTATTCTGTATTTCTCACAGATCTATTTTGAAGCTGACAAGTCACCTGAGAGAGACTTGTATTTCCTAATTAAAAAGTTGCATGATGCCTGGTTATAGTTTCTACACAATTTATTAATACAAAGACAGAAATAAAATAAAGCAAAAGGATTTTGGCAATAAATCTGTAAGAAGAACAATGACTGATTTTGACTACGTGTACTCTGAGAAGAAGTTAAACACGGTTAACACACAGCAAGAGCGTAGCAGTGACTTAAGTCCATGAGAGTTTAACAGTCTGCACCTTCAGAGCAAGTGCCTAGGTGAAAATGGTTGAAAGAGTATGCATATATATGTATAGTTTATATATACACCCACATAAAAAGATAACCTTTCACATTAAATGAATAAGAAAATCAGGGTGCTACTGATGCAAGATTGCAGGATTTTTAAAATGCCTATCGGGAACCACTGACTGCGCACAAACAGAAAAGTGCTCAAAAAACCCTAAATTATACTTTTTTTTTTTTTTTTTTTTTTAGGTGGAAGAGCCTGGTCACTTCAACTCTGACGACTGCAGGAGCAAATGCCTGGTGTCGATGCCACATTTAGCGCGGCTGGAAAACCGACACAACCAATTTAAACGCATTTGGCCGAAAATACTGAGGAGAAAAGGCACGAGGCACACAAGGCGCCGCCACGGCACACATAGCATCCCCCTCTCGCCTCCAGCAGGCCAGGATTATAAAGGGACCTCGTGGACTGCGGTTGGAAATAAGAAAAGATTATGATCAACAAAATTTCACCGAATTGAGAAGAGGGCGACAGAAGCCCTGCTTTGCTGTTTCAAAGCTCCCTGAGCACCGAGATCACCGCCGGGGCTCAGCCCCGGGCCGCGCCGCCCCAAGGACCACGTGCGACCCCGCCGCCCCATCCTACACAAAGCCAGTAAAACGGGGAAAACCGAGCTCCGTTCACTCCGCAGCGGTTTCACGGTGCAGGTGGAAGGAGAACGGAGACGGCACGAAAGCGGCTGCAGGCGCCCAGCTATAAATTCAAACCCTCCCGCATGGCGCCCGCCCCCCCCCCCCCACTGCCTCCTACCACGCGCACACGGGAAGAGGGGCAGCAGCTGCTCCCCGCGGAGCTGCGGACGGAAGGCCCGGCTCCCATCACGCCGCTTTGGCCGCCCACCCGCCCGCTCTCGGCTCCCCCTCGGCCCTCACTGAGCGCTGCGGTCTCGCCGTCGCCTTCAGGGTTTTCCTCATGCTCGTCACCGTCGTTCTCGACCCTTGGCTGCCTCCGCTCAGGAGACAGCCCAGCCAGCGAGGCCTCCGCAGCCTCCTTCGCTGCCATCTTCTCCGGAGACAGCCCGGTGGCGGACGAAGGGAGACAAATCGAGGCAAAGGAACACACCGCCGTACCCACACACCGCTCGCTAGGAAGGCGGGCGGCCGAGCACGTACAGCAAGAGAAGAGGCGGGCCCACACCGCCTACATTTCCCAGAGCGCCTTGGGACTCTAGCTCCTGCGGAAGCCGGACCTGGCCCAGCGCGCACCGCGGTGGGGAGGGGCTAAACCAGGCCGGGCTGCGCTGGGCCGGCCTGCGGACGTTTCCGCAGACGAGCCGGGCGGTGAGATATTCCTGTCAAGGAAATTCCCAGTTCCGGGAGCGGAACTGCTCTCGGGGTACCCCTGAGACCCCTCTGCTGGGACCGCCCTCCTGAGGCCGGCCGGTCCGGCGGGTTAGGGGTGCAGACCCGCTGCCCGCATCGGTTTCCACCTCCACGGGAGGGTGCGTCCGAGCTGCCTCCTTGTGAGGCGGGGCCGCTCCTGTGCCCTACTGCTGTGGGGGAGAAAGAGGGAAGGAATGGGGTGTGCCGGCAGCTGCCGGGGGTGGGCGAGCTGGCCTTCTGGCTTGTGCCAGAGGGAGTCCCCTTGTAGTTGCTCTTTTCTTCAGGCGTGGGGTTGGGGGGCAAGAGACTGCAGCTTCTTGGGTTGTGGCGGAGCAGTAACTTCCATCAGTCATTTCAACCCGCCCATGTTGACGACTGTCTTAGAGCGCTCTCTGTTTAGTGAGTCTTCCTTGTTTTATGGCTGAGCTCCTTCTGTGGCTTGTCTGGTTAAACAGTTGACTTATACTATGAAAATTCACCTCTAAAGCTTTGGGAGCTTCTGGCGGAGCTTTCTTACAGCCTTCAAACCTTTTCTGCTTCACGGCAGGCTCGCAGGGCTAGTTTATGTAAGGTGTGGCGTAGCTGTTGCGACATGTCATGATATTATACCTAACCCAGAGGAAAGGTGGGGGACGGCCGAAAGCAAAAGTTATATAGTTGGAACTGCTTTAAAACTTGATGTTTGTATGGCTAACTGTTAAAGGGTGTTTGTTTCTAGTGGTCTGGTATGTTTGCCGGTACAAAATGTGTGTCTCTAGAGCAGGGGGTAAAGTAATGGTCATTCTATTTTTTTTTTTTTTTTTTTTTTTTTCCCTGTGAAGTTCTCTCACTAGTTAGATGTAATTACTGTTAAAATCTTCTGGAACCTGCTGTGGCTCTGTAATGAGAAAATAAGAGTATTCGAGTATTCTTTTTTCTATATGCAGTTAAAATTTAATTTTTATACTAGCTGGAGATAACTTGAAATAAATAATAATGGCAATGCTTTTTCTTAGCATTTGAAGATGTCTAAAAAGAAACTGAAGAAATTAACTGGAAAGGAAGACAGTTTGGATGGCCGGGATGACAAAGTAGGAACAGCTATATTATTACTATAATGATTATTTTAATTCAAAACCCCACATTCAAGAGAAGAGCATGAATTGTTTAGCAACCTTGTGATAGAAGGCTGAATCAAATTTAAAGGGGGGGTTGTAAATAGCAGAAGGATTGAATCTGTCAGTTAACTACAAGTTCTAGACAGATCTTCTCCAGAGGTTATAAGTAGTGTGGGTATCAGAAAACAAAAGATTTTATTAGTTTTAATATATTTTTCTGGTTGATCTAAGTCAAGTTTAAAACAACTGCTAAAACCACCTCTGTTTTTCTGGATTGTTCTTTATCTTGAACCATATGTCTTAATTTTATAATTAATTACAAATTGTACTTCACAACATTTTAGCAAGTAACTCTCAAATATTTAATTTTAACCACTGAGACAGAAATCAGTGACCAAAATTCTTAGAATATGCTGGTATCTATTTGTATCTAGTGAGTAAGCTTTCACTGAATCACTTGGAAAATGCAGGTGCTACAGGGGGGATAATCTTTCTGGTCATGTTTGTATGTAGCTTCCTATTCTTTTTTCATTATTTGTATTGCCTTCTGGGAAGTTATTTCCTGCCAGAAGTGTAATATATATCAAATAAATCCAGACTTAATATTTGCTAGACTTATTTTCCCTTGTATTTTGTAAGGTATGTGTGAAAGAAGAGAACTTTTAACTGTCTTATCATAAATGTCTCAAAAAAAACCCATTTGGAAGTGTGTATAAATGAGTGTGATATTATAGCCTTATAAACTGAGTTATACATGCTAGAAGCCTTTTGCTGTCTTAGAAAATGTTGTTCAAAGCCAAATATTTGTAACTTTTTTTTCTCCTTAATTCCTTATTATTCAATTTATCTTTTAACATTAACTTATCCTAAGATGTGTGGTTTATGTTGGGTTTTATTTGGGGTTTTTGTGTTTGGGTGTTTTGTTTGGTTGTTGTTTGCTTGTTTGTTTTTTTTCTTCCCTTGGTGTTTTTTTTTGTTGTTTTGTTTTTGTTTTTTTACTTGTGTAATACGGAGGTCAAAAACTTGGCTTAAGATGTCATACTCTAGCTGTATTGCCATTGCTAGTGCCTATACCAGTTTGAAGCATACAGAGTTTTAACTGTTGCATGACACTTTGGTCTGAGAATACTTTAATACTGCTATATACAGATATTGACCAACATAAGCAACAGTGAGAACCCAAACTAATAATATTAAAAAGAAGGAAACCTCTGAATAGTATCAAGTGTTTCTTCAGTGTGATTGTGTTATGGATAAGAGGTATCTTGAGCTCTTACAGGTGAAAGTAACTATTTAAGTGGATTGTGTGTTTGTTTTGGTTTGTATGTGTGTGTGGTATAAGCATGACGACAGATTACAGAAAACTTTAGGCCTGTTTGATTTTTAGCTGGTGGAGTGAAAGTACAGGGTGGGTATCATGTAGGGTTCCACACCTTGGGTGTGTGTATGTGACTTTATGGGGGGGCCTTTCTTACCCGCAACTGCATTAGCAGATTGTAGGAAGTGGTTTGGCTGTGCATACAGCTGGAGCACCCATGTCTTCAACAGCAGGAGCAAAGTACACACAAACATACCAAGTCATCTGATCTGGTATCCCTTTGTAATTGTCTGTTATTACATTTTTTCTGTTGTATTGCTGGTATTGGTCATGAGTGTATAGTTCACTGATTGCCTGTTAACTGAGTTGTTAATAAACCAATAAACCCCTTAGATGCCTTTTGATGACAGTCAAGTTGAACAGGTCTTCCTGCAGCAAATTGCATGGATGGGATTCTCAGTGGAAGTAGCCTTTAACAGCCTCCATTGGTTTTGCTGCTGTCACAACTCCAGGACCAACCACAGGCGGAAGCTTTCAAAATTTAATTAATTCGTCAGGATTCCAATGATTTCTGCAACTCTTTTATTTTCATGAAGTGCTTTCTAATGTGGAAGTAAAATAGCTAAGGTCTCACAGGTCTTTTATGGACTTCCCTAAGCAGGAAAACCTCTGCAGCAGTGACCTAATGGCCTTACTCAGTCCCTGTGACCCAATTGAAGGAGTAAATTATTTGCTAAAGGATGTGTTGTCTGGAGCTTCCTTATCTGAAGTAATCCAGTGCTGTCCTTTGTTGTAATGTCCTGCACCCGGCTGCAGTTTTGGGAAAACAAAGTCATATAACCCTATCTCAACCTGGTTAGAAGACGTATGTGACTCAGACCTGGTCAGAGTCAATATACTTGCTTGGAATGAAGGCACAAATAAGGCCAGATGCTGAAACTCTTCAACAGACTAGAGAGAGAGCCCTGCCCTTTTATGTTCATGTTCTTTAGAGTGTTATTCCGCAAGGGCCCATGAATGATTGTTGTCCCTTATACTGTGGTGTCCCCTATTTGACCCTATCCTTTAGGTCAGCATTTTTTACAGTCCTGTGGAGGCTCATCAGTTTCAAACAAGTGGGTCAGAACGATCCTGCTGACACAGTAGTGAAAGCTAACATCCTTTGTTTGCTTCATTTGTGATAATTCCTGTAAGGCCTCCCATATTTGAATGCGAATGGTATCTGAGACAAACTCAATTTAAGCAGTGTTTGAGAGAAACTTGCTTAAGCAGTGTTTGAGACAAGCTCAGTTTCCAGGCTTTCACAAACACGAAGGTGTGTAAAAAAAATTCGTATCAGCAGGGTCTGTCATTTTGCTGCTTTCTGTTCTCTCCCATAGCTGCAATAATAAACTTTCTGTTCTGAACTGATCAAAGTTGCCTTCCAGTTATTCCACAACATGCATGTGACAGCTTGCAATATAGATATGCCGAGCAGTGATATGACGGCTTTCTAAATAAGGGTTGTTCAAATTCTTTGTTTGGGGACTATCTTCACTCTTAACCAGGTCTATGTAACTGCAGTTTCACATTGGTCCACCTTATTATTAGATCTGATGAAAATTAGTAATGCATATCTTCTGCACAAAAACCTCTTGTAGAAAGATCCTCTTTGGCCTTACCTAGTAGGTAGCTGGAAGCAGTCTTTGGGTCACTTTCTTTGTCACCAAGATTTTTTGTAAATATACAAAAATGTATGTTTACATATTCATATACTTGTAAAGTATATGAAACACATGAATCCTAAATGTGTTTTATTTGAGCTTTCTCTGTTTATACCCCAGGGCTGTGTGACACATTCAGTTTTTCCCCTTGTGTTGTTCTTAAATAGAACAAAATCTAAATACTAAATTATAACAAAGTATGTGGTTGCCTTTTTCAAGGTTAACTTGTTCAAAATCAAACTGAATCTAGTATGAAGTAATAGATTGTTGAATCGTATGAAGCTTTTTTTAACTGTAGTTTCCTCTATAAGCCCTTGGATTTTTCCTTCTTTCAGAACATTGAAGACATAAGATCTTACAACTGTACTATGAAAGGAGAGACAGAATTTCAGAGGTAATTTATTGGAACTGCTTAAAGAGGTCTGTTATTGTTTTATTTTTTTAAGACTGAATTTAAGAATTTTGTTTTACTTGTTCACCAAATAAAATGTTATTTTAACTGATAAAATGGTGTTGGTGTTGCATTAATGAGGGGATCCTGTCTAAGCTGGGCAATTTGAGAGGGTTTAGAATTACATTTTTTTAACTCTTACTTGAAAAAAATTACTTTTTTTAAACTTGTAGTATGCTGCTACACTTCAGATGAGGTAGAAATTTTATCTTTCCAATACTGCTGTCATAAAAATATCTTTTTTTCCTTTGTCTTGAGTACTGCCTTGTTGGTCTATTGCATATCACATGTGTTTTGTTAGCAAAGGAGGCTCCAGTGAAGTCTGGTGGGTAGTTCTGCAGTGAACTTAATACCTTTACTAGATTCTGGTATTTCTGAAATGATTGATTTCTCCTGGTGCTTGGAGTAATTGATTCCAAGACAAAGAAAGTAATGTTTCACCTTGAGTATAGCAAATATAAACAGTGTTTGAAAACTGCTTTGTATAAAGCAAGAATGTTCTCATGAATCCTCAGACAGCAAATAGCATATTTCCAGGCAAGATACTGCCTGGCTTATAGCCAGATAATCAGAATCATAGAATGGTTAGGGTTGGAAAGGACCTTAAGATCATGTAGTTCCAACCCCCTTGCCATGAGCCAGGGACACTTCACTCTAGACCAGGTCACCCAAGGCTCTATCCAATCTGGCCTTGAACACTGGCTATGGGTTGTTTCTTAATCATGGTAAAATCCTGTTGCAGCTTCTCTGTTTAACTGGAGTTGTAAGTTGCAGGATACTTAGCTGCATGTACACATGCTGCTAAACATGTTTGTTAGTACAGTATAATGGAACCATAAACCAGTAGCTATGTTCATGCCAGAACTCTGTCCAGTAATTTATCCTAATAGTGGCCAGTAGGGCTTGTATTGGAAGGAATATGTGAAACAAGACAAATAGAATTTTTTTTTTTCCTGTTTTATACTCTTCCAGCTTCTAAGAACCAGGTAGGGATCTCCTAATTCTGAAATTGTAATGGCAATCTGTGCATTTAAGTTACCTGGCCTACGTGAGTTTGTCAAATGGCCTTTACCTCCCCAACAGTTTTGAGAACACTGTTATAGAGCAGGGTAGAAACTTCCTTTGGATTATTTTAAACCTAGTGTATAGATTTTTTAATATTTTTTCTGCTCTTACAAAAAAGTTTCCAATTCAGTTTTCATATTCACTACTTCTGTAAAATTGTCCCCATCAATTATTCCTTTTCCTGGTTCTCCAGTCTGTCTATTCTGCACTGTTTGAAAGCTGTGCAGTGTTTGGTGCTGGCAACAAAGCTGAACTGTGACACATTTGAATTTTAGGGTGACGCACCTCGTATCATTAAACTCCTGTTAAAAATTATCTGTGTGATGAAACTAGTCTTTGAAGGGCATCTTAAACTAATAGATAGTGAATGCAGAAAAAGCTTTTTCTCAATTTGATAAGCTGAAATAGCTGTCCAGCTGGGAAAACAATGTAAATACTAAAAATGGTGTGTCAGACAGCACAGGTATTGCTGCAGTTTCATATTTAAGAATGTAGTGAACCAGTACTCATAAATACTTAGCCATGACTGCCTAAATCAAATGCAGGTTTTTTTTTTTTGCTTTGTTTGTTTATTCTTGCATTAACTGAGCTAGATTACATTTCTTTTCTCATGTTTCTGTAGATTCAAAACAGAGAAAGATGGGCAAGAGGAGAAGCAAGAACGAAGTTCTCATAGTTCTCATGGCAATGACGGAAAATCCAGAGGAAAATCTTCAAATAGAAACAAAACCACAGACAATTCTTTAATCCAAACTAAAAAGCAAAAGAAAGTAGTTATTGAATTTAAAGACAGAGAAATTAAACATGGAAAAAGTACGCGCACTCCTGATGTTGTGACTACTCGCAAGGAAAGTTACAACAAAAGTCATCTTGATGGGACAGAAGGAAAAAGACTCTATAGCTTTGCGGTTCAGAGGAGCAAGGCACTGAAGAAAAAGACGGAGAAGGCTGAACTTTGTAAACTAAAGTTAAAAGGGGAACAAACTATGTTGGAAAAAATTAGGTCATCTGTCAATGATTCACATGTACCACATAAAAAGGCACATGGAAAAAAAATGAGTGAAGATGTCAGAAATTCAAAAAAGCGCTCTGACACTTCTACACGGACTGTGCATGGTAATAGGTCTTTCACTAAGAGGCCAAATATATTATCTAGTACTTGGGAAGAAGAGTATGAAGATGAATGTGAAGAGTTTTCTAAGAAAAAACAGCATGTGAGTAAACATACACCCTCACGCTATTCGACTGAAATACAACGATGGGACTCTTGTAAACAGAAGAAACAGAATGCCGATTCTTATAAAGCTGCTGGTAATACAGAGAAAGAAAAAAGGGACTTCAAAGCCACATCATTATGTTTTAAGCAGGTAATGAGAACCCAATTCTTGTTTCAGGCTAGTTTCTGAAGGACAGGCAGTTTTTATCTAAGCAGACTGTCTTCTTACAGATTTTGAAAAGGATTTCATAGCTAACCAGGTGAATCTTTCTGATCCCAGTTAAACCATGTTAAAATGTTTCTCTGCTACATGGTTAAATAAACTAGAATAAAGATCTTGCATATTAGGATTGTATCTGCACATGCGCTTTCATAGTGTTGCTATTAAGGGATGTGGAATACTTCCATTTTGGTTTAACTAAATTTTGGGGAACTCTGACATGGTTGTATTAATTTTTTGAGTGAATAAACTGAACCAATGAAAGCCTGCATGCTAAACAGGTGCTCATTGCTGACAAAGTAATGCCAGGAGAATTTCTTGTAGGTCTAGGACTAAATTTGTGTGTTTGCTGCAGAACTTCATGTTTGGCTGTGATTGATTTATTTCTGAGTTCTAGCTTGTAATTGACTCTGGACCTTAAATTTATCTTGAGCATGGTTATTTTTTGTTTTTCTTGATTTCAGTTCACATTAAGGTAGCGTGATCATTTTGTGTGTACACAAAGATGGTAATGACATACAGAATAATGGAATCGTTGAGGTTGGAAGGCTCCTCTGGAGATCATCTAGTTCACCCCCCTTGCTGAAGCAGGGTCTTCTAGAGCACGTTGCCAGGACTGTCCAGTCAGGTTTTGAATATCTCTAAGGATAGAGACTCCACAACCTCCCTGGGAAGCTTGTTTAAGCACTTTTACTGAAATAAATGGAGGTTTTAATGTTCAGATGTAATGTGCTGTGTTTCAGTTTGTGCCCATTGCCTCTTCTCCTGGAACTGGCCACTGCTAAGAATCTACATCCTCACATCAGATGTTTATAAACATTGATAAGACTCTCCTCTAGGCAAAAGAGTACCAGCTCTTTCAGAATCTTGTATGACATGCCTCAGTCCTTTAATCATCTTAGTGACCCTTTGCTTAAATCAGTCTTTTAAATCTGTGTCTGTCTTGTATTGCCCAGAGCAAGAATTGTCTTGTCCAGAGCCAGAATAACATAGTCACAAACCCACAGGAGATTGGAAAAATGGGCTTACAGTGTAATCCACTATATTTATTTGAAAATAAAAACCATTTTGAAAGGATGCTGTAGGTTCTAAGCCCTTTTGAAAGGATACTGTAGATGCTTCATCATGGATATTGAAAATATGTTTTATGTTACCTCTTCAATTCACTTGGGAATATTCATTGTTCTCTAGACGACTGATAGATGTTCTACTTCCATTCCTACTTGTTTCTCGAATTTTGAAGTCCCATGCACCTCTGACACCTACCAAGAAGGTGAGGACACAAAGTCTGTCCAAAAGGTTAGTGCTGTAGTTATTTAACTCTGAAGAGCTGTATTTCAAAACTCTTTGACATAGACATTATTTGTTCTTCAGTCTTTCCTTGACATTTTGTGGTGTTGGTATTTAATTTTTTATTTTTTTTTAATTCCTACAGAGTTCTGAAGTCTTTCCACCTCTTCAAGACAGTCAGATCTCTGAAACAGACCAAGAGGTTAGCAATACTGTAACACTTCTATGTTGCATTAAAAAATCATTGGTACTGAGGTTGTATAGCTGGAAAATTCCCTGACCTTTGCTAGTATTTTGCATTGTTGTGTTATGATCTGTACTTCAAAAAATGTGAAGCATTTTTTTCAAATACTAAACGAACTTGCTGAAGTATTGCTCATCAGGAGCTTTCAGAGATAGAAGATTGGCTTTCTATTACTCTCTGCAATGTAGGGCACCAACATAGTTGCATCTATGTCATTTTCCATCTTGTCTCTTTTCCAACTTGAAAGTTATATTTTCTAAGAAATGCCAGTCAGGAAACTCTATGAGGCAAAAATGGAAAAAAGTTTCGGGGTGCTAGGTACAAATGTCATAAACAAATCTTCCTTTGAGGCTGTATTTCAGATATCTTTTGTGGGCTTCTTACAGCAGAGGATATGCAATAAGTTCTCATGACTTTACATTTGCTGTACCAGTTTCAAATTATTCATGCTTCATTTTTAGTCAGTGTTAACAGCATTTATGTGGAAGTATCTTTTTTGGGAACAATTCATACAGGATTACTTAAAATTGATGCAGATTGTTTTCATTGTAGATGCAGATAATTGAAGATTTGCATGTTGCCCGTGTTCAGAAGAGGATGATGCTGTCTGTAGTAGAGACTTGTGGAGAACTTACAAGTATGGAAATAGATCTTCCAGAGCAGGATTTAAATACTTCTGCTGGTATGTCATGGGTTGATGTTCTTTGGTATCTACTTGCAAGTAGCTAATGTTCTGAATAGAGCGTGCACAACTGATTTTTAGGTGTTTTTTCCTCAACTTTTTTTTTCTTTTTTTCTCCAGAGACTTTTCCTTCTGGTCTGAACATACTAGTGGTGATTGACACAAATATAATGATTAGTCACCTTGAGTTTGTCAGATCCCTGAAATGTGAGAATATACCAGGTATGTGAGTACATGGTGATCAATACGTCATTTTAAGAAAATAGAGATGTTGTAAGAACTTGAGGCAACGTGAAGGAAAACTAACTTGGGCTCCTTAAAAAGGCAGCAGGTTTCTTACAGAGACAGAAAGTTCACACTTAAGAGGCAGGTTCTGTGAACCCAGATAAGCTGCCTCCCAAGGAAAGTTCAGCTGTGAAAGTAGAACCTACTATGCTTATATCTACATACCTATAGAGAATCATGGTCAGTGTTCCCATGAACATGTGTGAATACTTAGAGGTAAGTAAGTCTTGCCTATTGTAAAAACATACTTTTAAGCATTTAGTCCACTGGTGGTAATCACGTTTCCTACTTTTTTTTTTATTTTTAATTTCCTACAAATCTGAGAACATTTAAAATCAGATAGGCAGTCAGTGTTTTTGGTTTTTGTTTTTATTTTTCTCTTGGTAAACATCACAGAATTCACAGAATGTGTGAGCAATTTCTCAGGAGTTCCAATTGCAGACCCTGGCTGTAATGTTGGCTTTAATAGGTTGTGAAGCTTTTAGTAATTTTATGTTAGCAGGATTAGGATCCTGCATGTGAGTTGTTGGTAGACATATTTGGCATCTGTGGTCAATGGCTCAATGTCCGGCTGGAGACCAGTAGTGAGTGGGGTCCCTCAGGGATTGGTGTTGGGACCAATCTTGTTTAACATCTTTGTTGCTGACATGGACAGTGGGATTGAGTGCGCCCTCAGCAAGTTTGCCAGTGACACCAAGCTGTGTGGTTCGGTTGATATGCTGGAGGGAAGGAATGCCATCCAGAGGGACCTCAACACACTTGTGAGGTGGGCTGATGCCAACCTCATGAGGTTTAACCAAGCCAAGTGTGCATGGTCCTACACCTGGGTTGGAACAATCCCAGGCACAGCTACAGGTTGGGCAGAGAAGAGATTCAGAGCAGCGCTGTGGAGAAAGACTTGGGGGTATTGGTTGATGAGAAAACGAACATGGGCCGGCAGTGTGCGCTTGCAGCCCAGAAAGCCAACCGTATCCTGGGCTGTATCAGAAGGAGCGTGACCAGCGGGTCGAAGGAGATGATCCTGCCCCTCTACTCTGCACTTGTGAGACCTCACCTGGAGTATTGTTTGCAGTTCTGGTGTCCTCAACATAAAAAAGACATGGAACTGTTGGAACAAGTCCAGAGAAGGGCCAGAAGGATGCTCAGGGGACTGGAGCACCTCCCATATGAAGATAGGCTGAGAAAGTTGGGGCTGTTTAGCCTGGAGAACAGAAGGCTGTATGGAGACCTCATAGCAGCCTTCCAGTATCTGAAGGGGGGCTGTAAGGATGCTGGAGAGGGCCTCTTCATTAGGGACTGTAGTGAGAGGACAAGGGGTAATGGGTTCAAACTTAAACAGGGGAAGTTTAGACTGGATATAAGGAAGAAATTCTTTCCTGTAAGGGTGGTGAGGCACTGGAATAGGTTGCCCAGGGAGGTTGTGAATGCTCCAACCCTGTCAGTGCTCAAGGCCGTGTTGGACGAAGCCTTGGGTGAGATGGCTTTGTGTGAGGTGTCCCTGCCCGTGTCAGGGGGGTTGGAACTAGATGATCTTAAGGTCCTTTCCAACCCTAACTATTCTATGATTCTATTCTATGATTCTATCTATCAGAATATATAAGGTTCTTTGATACTTTCAGTTAACAAGTACACTTATTCTGGCCACCTGGAAAATAACATTAATAAGGGAGTGAGTAATTTTCAAGACTGTATCTTACTCTATTTCTCTTTCGCATATTAGGAAGAGCATTGCATTGTGTATCCTGGAATGCCTTTTTTAGACTATTGCAGCTCCCAATTTCTGGTCCTGCACCAGAGCCATTATATTCAGAAGGTTGCTGATTCCTGACCTTTCTATTACAAAGCAGATGGATGCTAATGTATTTTTTCAAGATGGCATTCTTATTGTGAATGAGAAGGAAAACAGTTTTTGTCCTGAATGGAACAATAGAACAGTCATTAAATTAAATTCAGTCATTAAATTTCTGATACACCATGTATTTCATATATAATGGTTTTAAAATTCAGACCATACTTACATACAAATGTAGCCATGGTCAATATTCATACTGCCTGTTCCTGTTTTAGGAATGCTGGTTGGCAAACTAGAAAAAACTGTTGCTCCTTTTATTTGGTGATTGTTTTGGCACATTGACTGTTACGGTCATTCAGGTATTTTGAGCCTTTTACTTCAGCTGCTGTCACCTTGTTTTACCATTTTACAGCTTGTTTGTGACAAGGTGATAATTGCTGCAAATATGCCGTATAATATTGCTACATACTGTTGTTAAAGCAGTCTGTTGATTAAAATCATGTCTTCCTTTTGTTTGCCTAATATTATAATTTTTACATGTAACCAATGTAGTGCCAGTTTGAGGTTAAATTAAAAAGAGGGAACCTGGCCTTTCTCAGTTGTTAATTTTTTTAATGCTAAATACTCCTGAGCATGGAATATGAAAACTACTGGCCAAAAAAGTGTGAACTTATGTAAATACAATGTTTGACCTAAAAATTATCTGATTATCTGTAGTAATTTGATTGGCTCTTTAAAATGCATTTGTTTTTTGGTTGTATTCTCTCCCTTTTCTTTCTTTTTTTTTTTTTTTTTTCTTCCAGGTGTTGGCAGACTTGCATTAATAATTCCCTGGGTTGTTCTACAAGAGCTGGACAACTTGAAGAAGGGGAAAATGCTGCAGCATGTTCGGGACAAAGCTATCCCTGCAGTCCAGTTCATCTACATGTGTCTCAAAAACCAAGATTCAAAATTGTGGGGACAATCCATGCAGCTTGCTTCTCAAAAAATATGTAATATATATGCAATCAATTTGTTTTGGGTACTTAATCATTTCGGTTTGCTTGGTGTGAACCTTAGCACTAAATTTTGAGTTAATACAGTCTTCACTCTGCAGTTTGCCAACTAAAATTCGGGAATAGCTTACAGAAGCCTTCAGAGCATATTCAGGGCTATAGCTTGCAAATACCTTATTCACATTAGTGCTTTGTTCATTATTGGTTTATTAGTTGTTTCTCACTTCTAGCTATATCTGTTGGTTATTAGAGGATTACTTAATGAGAATTCATCTAATTACTGTTACTTATGGACTAAGGCTATGTTGTGTGCTTTTGCTTGACTCAGTCATCACAAAATCTAACATACTTAAATTACATGTGGCTCGCATGACCTTTTCTGGCAAAACATAGCATTATTGAGTGGCGTAGTACCTAGTATTTCAAAGCTTAGATTTGTGTTTAGATTATACTTCTCTGTCTTTGTTTGGGGACTATTAGATTTATAAACAGTACTGTGACTACACTGAAGAATTTCTTGTGTTGAGTTACTCCTGAACATTCAGCTCATTTTTTACTAAATTTGCAGATGGCCTGAGTGACGAGAACAATGACGATCGTGTTTTACAATGTTGTCTGCAGTATCAGAACCTCTTTCCTCAAGCTGTTGTCATACTCTGCACGTGAGTTCCTGTGTGGTTTTAGGTCTCTTATGAGGTGGAAGCTAGTCTCATGCCAAATACACTATTTTCATATCATATCTTAAAATGAAGAGCTGTTTCTAAAGTAAGCTTTTTGAAGAGCAGTCACCCTCTTTAAAGCTGGGGTAGAAGGATATAATAAAAAAAAAAAGATTGTAGACTTAATCAGCTGCACGTGCTTGAGGCCTGAAGTAGAATTAAGTTTATTCAGTATTCAATTTTAAATCTTTGTAAAGCATAGCTTTCTCAGATTTTATTCCAATTTCTCATACAAATACTCCTGGAGTTACAAAATGAGAAAAAAAGTATTTCTGTTAATGATTGAAATCCAGTTAGATACTTTGTTCCTGCTCACCTCTTTCAGGAACAGTGATAACCATTGTCAGGGGTTAATCTTAGAAAGAGGGAAGATGGCTTCTGTTCTTGTTTTGTGAGTGTAACGGCTGACTTATGAGTATTGATTATCAATTTTATACAAATCACATGAAGCTAGTTTTTAAATGGCTAATACTGTCTTGACAGGTACTGTAAAGAGCTTGCTTTGGTCCTTGCTAGAACCATTTCCTGCATAGTTTGAGTAAATAGGGTTAAGACCTTGCATCAGTTTAAGTTGACATGTGGATCAGGTTGTTGGTGAAAACACTATCTCAGTCACAGTACTGGTAGGGCTGTTGATAATGATTTAGGTTTCTCTGAATGAAGACTGAGAGGCGACTTCAGATGTACTTTTCATCTGAAAATATATTTTATCAATGTAAGCAGTGGGAATTTTTTAGAATTTTTTAGAAAGTACTAGGGTCCAACTTTGTACTGCATCTTTGTAGTAGTACTGCTGGAGCAGCGTATACTTCAGAGTGACATCTGGAACAATGATTCAACCAGTAGAACAGTAAAAAATAGTGACGAAAATGAGAATTTAATGTAGCAGTCGTATAAGATATTACTGTCTTAGAATTGCCTTGTTTGCATTCAAAGATTATAGCAACTCAGCATCATTGCTGTAGTATTTATAGCTGTTTTTTTCTTAAAGCAGTATAAAGCTTTAAGAAAAAAACAGCTTTAAGAAAAAAAATGAAACATTTTTCAGTATTTTTTTTTTTTTTCTCGGAATAGATGCTTCAGTTAATTTTCTGGTTGAATTTTTTTAACTGCTTCTAGTTGCTTGAGAAAGAAAGCTTTGTATATAATGAAGCTCACAAAATAAGCTTACCAAAGAAAATCTTTTCAGTGTGATTCTTTTAATGCAGTGTCAGAGTTATGTCAACAATTAATTCTCTTCTCCTAGGGATGATAAAAATTTATGTAATAAAGCCATTGTGAGTGAGGTCAAGGCATTCTGCAAAGCTGATTTAGTTACTGTTCTACAGAATCTGAATGTAAACATGCAGCAGAACTGTTTTGAGTTGCAGCAGACAAAATGTGGTAAGTTTGTTTAATGTGAATGTATGCATATGCTGGTTTTTGAAATACATAATAATCAGTGCAGATGAGGGAGAATAGTCTCTACTGTAACCAGTTTTTATATACTTTGAATCTTTGTAATGCTTTTCATTTGGGGCAAATTTTGGTTTTCAAAGATAAAATTGTTTTCTGAAAGTTGGAGACCTTTGTTAACACATTTGTCTCTTGTGTTCTGGGAAATTCAAATAGGATGTAGTTTTGTTTCACATTAAAAAACAACATGAATTTCCTGTATTCATAGTAATTTAAAAGGTATCCTGAACTTTTTAGGTCTGAAGAGAGGTTTTTCCAGCTGAGCAAATTTGGGTCCTATTCTTAAGTAGTTGTAAAATTCAGTATGCTAAGATCACTCCTTGCATGTTGTGGTAATATCTTTACCTTCAACAGCAGAACTTCATTCTTGGGTTGCCTGTTCATTTTTCCAAAGACAGAATTCCAGCTTACAGTATTAAGAAGTGATCTTATACTCAGTGATAACCCCACTGACTGTATGTAGTCAAAGTTATTTAAGGAAAAAAGAAATGCAGAGTAATGTCACAAATGAATAAAGCTCTTGGGAAATTAGTCTTCTTGGTTAGTAGTTTATAATTAAAAATGTCCACAGTACAGGTGGATATAACTAGAAATACTTGAAACCTAATTAGATGTAGACCATCCGCTTTATAACATAAAGTGTAGTCTGCCTTTATGGGTATAAATTATTGATGTACTATCAACATAAATTAAATATAGAAACAGTTGCAGTAAGTACCGTCTATTATTATTGGCTTGACAGATGCAGAATTCAAGAAAACGGGAAGAGGTCTTACGGCACAATGTCCAGATATACTTCCAGACCTTGAAAAGAACTTAGGAGAAGCTTTATCTTGTATTCTGGAGACTGAAATGAAAATCGCATTTGGAAACCTATGGATGGAGGTGGTTTCTTATGTCATCTTACTATATTAAGAGGTTTGAGTGTCCTTGGTATTTTAACTATATCGAAACCCTTACCAAGCCAAACAGTTAAATTGTCTGGTTCACTAACATACCAGTTCAGTGATAGTGAACAGCTCTGTGCTCAGTTTTACTATTTCATTCTGTAACAAGATTACTCTATTTGACCAGTAATGACTGCAGAATATAATAGTCTTTTAATTATATTGTAATGGAGATGGTGGCTGTTCAGTGTGAATTTTCAGAAATGCTTTTATTAGTTGCATTAAGTTTCTATTTTGGCTTTTTTAGTATGGTTAAATCACTGCATTGTAAATATGTCCTTCAAGAAGTTATTCCATTACATTTTATATAATATTGAGGCACTGTTGTTTCAGACACTTCCTCCTTGGAACTTGTATTTTCAGATACCACGTAGATAAAATTGTTCACAGCAAAATTGGTCGTAATGCAGGTACAGGATTACAAGTATATTAATGAGAACCTCCAAAAGCTCTTTCAAAAGTATTGTATTCAAAAATCCTTAGGTACAAGGCACTTGCAAATTATCCATGCTTTTAGATTCCATCTTATAGCTGGTAGGAGTTAGCTAGAAGTTTAAATTTATTGTAGATAATCCTCTGTGGCTTTCATAAAAAAAATAATTTACATGGAATGACTGTTGTTCCAGAAGGTTGAACTTCAATTAGCTGTTAAGCTTTTAGTCACTTCTGATTATCTTAGTTGAATTCTGTTAGGATCTTTTCAAGCTCTGTTTTCATTTGGTATTAATAAATTTCAATTTTGTTGCAATATGTGTATATTACTTCATGTATATATAGTCACAGCTAGGAAAAGTGTGTTTAATTTTGTTTTTTAACGATACTAGAAAATCAAAGGTGTATTTACTATTCTGGCTTTTGAACACAAATAACACATTAAATTGCTTCAAGAGATAACTGGAATATTTGGAGCTTTTGAGGAAAGGGGAACCAAAAATCATGAAAATGATTGTACACTAAAGACTTCTACATGAGCATCACTGTTTAATCCATGCTGCTGCTGAATCAAATCTTTTCTAATAATAAACTTGTTAAATTTGATTATAGCATATTTCTGAGGAATCGTTGAAATTCTACTACAGCAAGCACAAATCATAATATTTATTGAAGAACAGAGCAGCTGTGAAATGTATAGGATTATGTCTACATGAAAATCAGCCTTTGAATTTATAACGTATTATCTTTCAGATACTGTATCTGAAGCCACCATGGACATTAGCAAGCTTGCTGAAGTGTTACAGAAAACACTGGGTGGCTGTTTTTGGTTATATTGTGCCAAGGAGTTTGCTTTCAACTATTGAATGTCTCTATGGACACCTTTGTACAGGTAAGAATCTCTGAGAATGTTAATTATGAACTTATAGAAAAGTCACACTGTTCTGGTTTATTAAGTACAGAAGTTATGTGTCTTTTCAAAGTATCTACTTCTGTATGTTAAAATAGTAATGTGTTCCATCTTCTATGGCTTTTGTTTTGGGTTTTGTTTTTTTTTTTTTTTTTCAATTTGAGACTGTCCAAATGGAGCCATGCCTTGGGCAGTCTAATCTACTTTTCTATTGATCCACAATTATTCCCTGGATGGGTGACAAAATCCCAACACTTTTTGTAGCCTTAAAGCCAGAATTGAATTGAAGAGCTGTGAATTGTATTAAAAAGAAAGACCTTATGCCAAGTTCAGGTATATCCAGGCTCTGGTCCCAGATGGTCCAAATATGACCTGCAAAAATAATAATAATAATAAAAAAAAATCTCTGAAATGCTTGTGGGTTTCTTGTTGACTTTGGTTTGTATGGACATTATCAGGCATGTGAAAATTTACTTCAAACATCTGTTATGTACCTGCGAAAATCGGGGGATAAACATTTAGTAAATATATGTATTAATAGTAACCAAAGTCTCTATTTTTAAACAGCAAATAGTCTTTCTCTCTCCTTTGCCACAATGTTATGTGTGGCAAAATGATCTGCATTTGCCAAGTAAATTATGGAGAAGTAATGACTGCTTAAATATGATGAGGGTAGGGAGGCTTGTTTTCAAAAATAGCCAACAGAAAAACCCTGAAACAAACCCTTTCATTTATTTAAAGATATCTTTAAGAATTTGCTTTGTACAGACATACCTTTTTTGGGATACTGCTTTTGGGATATGTTCTGCAGAATTATTTCAGGTATGGCAGTTGATCCTGTTGCCAGATCCTGGGATAAATGGTGAAGACTTGGCTAAGAAGTGATTATGTTTCACACGTTGCTCTTGAGAATATTTTATGTAATACTTAAGCTATTTTCAAGGCTTTTTATGTGCTTCAGTTCAGCTATTTGATTATTAAATATGCCTTTTTTTTTTTCACTCCCCATAATAATGTCTAAATACCAGGTAAACCAGTTGACCCTTCAACAGTGTGTATCTTGCTCGAGGAATCCAAAAAATTATTCCATGCTTTCAGTTCAAGGTCAGATTATAATGGTGTACTTCCTCAAGCTTATGCTGAAGTGAATAAGCTATACCAAACACTTACAGAGGTAAGGGGAGCTGTAGTATTTGTTCAGCTAACGTGTTCAAATTGCTCTATGTTCGTATTATAAACCTGCCTTAGATTTCTAAATTATTTCCATAATTTCAACAAATTATTGCAGGAAATATTGTTTCTAGAGTGTTTTTGCTCTAGACCTCAAATTTAACTTTTTAATATAGCAAATATCTGCCTTTATGTATATGTTTGGTAGACTTTCTGGTTTGTTTTTTTTCCCCTAATATAAATGTGTTAGTATTGGGGGGTGACTGAAAATCATTATTTAGCTGTTTTCAGGAAAAATGTCTTAGTTTTCCATTGTGTTTGTAGTTGATGGAAAAGGATGTTTAAGATTAAAATTGTTGTTTCTAGGTCTGACATTGGTCCAATACTATTATTCCTAGTATATGTTCCTAGTGTGCTATTTCAGCTTTTGTTGCCTTGATAGCTCTGGTGCTACACATAAAGAAAAGACTTGTTCTATCATGTACTTTGTGATAGTCATTGGGGGTGTGTCCTGACACCTTTTGTGTTCTGAGAAGTATGTCTTCCAGCTGATTTCTGAGTTGATGTGAAAGAAATTCCAGTGTCTTGGTTTGTGGTTACTGTTAGTTCCATATGTAATGGCATGAAAATGGGATAATGAGCATGGATGACTTGAAATATTCCTGTGTAGGGGAAAGAACACGGGTCAGAATATCTTAAGAAGTTTTTTTCAGTTTTGGAGAAAGCTGCAAGGGAAAGGAAGAAGGTGATCAGAGAGATGAAGGAAGATCTGGGAGTCTTGCTTGCCTACTGTGCTGTAACTTCAGTGCGCATTGCAGTCAGTCACTTAATCCACAGTTCTGTGAACTGTGCTGCTATACGAAGCAGGCTTTCTGTCTGAAAACTGGTTTTGTCCTGTCCTTGTCCTGGCAATTGTTTGACTTCATAGAGAACTGCTCTTATACAGACTAGGTTTTGACAGATCTGTTTAAGACAAATTTTCTGAACCAGTTTACCAAATGATAACATATTGTAAATACTTTGTGCTGTTGCAGAGGAAAATGTTGCGTGATACTGAGTAGAGTAAGAAGCAGTTCTTGTTTATGCCTGCTTGTCATGCCTGGGAAACTTTGGCATAAGGCTTCCCTTTGCTTCAGTTACCTATCTGTATAAATACCAATATATACATATAGAAGAAGGATTTAGTGAAAGACCAAAAGATGCTTTAGATGCAGAGACCATATTCTTGTCATAACTAAAAGATAGTTATGCTGAGAAGAGTTTAGTCCTGCTTTTTTGAGCATTGCTTTAAAAAAGATATAGAAGTGTTTAAGTTCTCTTAAACTGGGAGCCAAATGCATTCATTATTTATTTGCTAAACTGTTTTATAAGGTGAGGTCAGACAATGAGCAGGATTTATCAGAAGACATCATGGTTCTTTCAGAAAATGCTGTATGTGAAAAAATGGAAGCAGTGACACCAAATCTACAAAGCTCTGAAGAAAAAAAGTTACATCCAAGCTTTCATGCATCTCAAGAAAGCAGGCACCAGGAAATCTGGTCAGTCCTTGAAGGTGTATGGAATACAATAAACTTGTACAGGTATGTTATGCTGGAGAAGTTAAAACTTCTATGTAACCTTAGATAATTTTCAAAAAAGCACACTTTAGAAATTGCCTTTCCCCCCCCCCCGTTTTAGAGAAGATGCTGTTAGTCATGTAATTAATCAAAATTGTAAAAAAAATTTTAAAAAATATCACACATCTTGTCACACAAAGGAGTTAGGAGCATGCAAATTGTTATGTGGATACACGAGTAGTTTGTCTAGTCTGCTGCTCTTTTTCTGGACAGTGGCTGAAGTAAGTTGCCTGAGAGAATGGCATTGAAAACTCTGTAAAAAAAAAAACCACAAACAAACAACAAAACAACAAACAAAAAATCTAATCAATTTGAAATACAGTGTATTTTCTTGTCAAGCAAAATCTTTCACTGTATAAAATCCACATGCAGAATCTAGTGATGAATTTCCTTTCTCATATAAATTTGAAATTGCAGGCAATTAAACTCTAGGTGATTTACTATTATTTTTATTTTGGTTATTTTTGAAAAACCTGCTTGAAAATCACTGAGATGCCATACTTTCAGATACTCTCACAAAATCTGAATAGATACTGTGTTTTCTTTTTGTAGTCTTAATCTGAAATCTTTTTGAAGGAGGGGCTGGTTTCACAGAGGAGCTCTTGTTTTTAGTGGTCTGTTACAGACTTGCCTAATAAACAGTGATAATAACTCTACCAATGCCGTTTCTACACTGGCATTTGAATATACTGTACAGTTGCACCAGCATCTTGGCTTACACCAGTACAGATAAATCTGAATTGATGTCAGCTTGATGTGGTGTTTGGGTCAGCTGTGTGGCAGAGAACAGTCTTAATGTGGTCTATTACTGGACTACTAACTGTGAACTTCAGGGTTTCATATAGGCATTGAGGAACAGCTCTTTCAAGTGTACCACTTTATAATGAAAAGGCAACTGAACTGTTGGCTGTTACTACCTGTTAAGGACCATACTGTGAAAAGAGGATAAAATTTTAGAATCAGAGGTCACTTCACACTCTTCTTGCTCATGTCAAGAAAGTACTACTTACCTTGCACCTGTGGGGATAATTCTTCATGGGTGCGCTGGAGCTCATCCTCCCAGTGCAACCATTGCAGGGAAGGTGTCAAGACCATACCAGTAAATCTGGAAAAGGAAGCTGCTTGAAAAACTGATGGAAACTTTGTTGCTTTAACCTAACACTTTTCTTCTAAGAAAGGCAAAGTTAGTTGTATGCAGGTTGTGCCTGAAGACTTTCATTCTGAAGTGAAGTTTAGTGAGAAGTCAAAGGTAAAAGTTGCCAAGGAAAATTTTAAACAGAGAAGTACAGTTGTAGAGTGTGGTCTTTCTACCATTTATTATAAGACTATTTTAGATAATGTGGTTTTATTATAGATTTACGTTTGACCTTGGTGTTGTTTTTTTTTATTAGTCAAAATACAGTGCATACAGTAGATACTAGGTTTCTCTGTATTTTGCTAATTTTTATTAACAGCTTTTCAATGTCTCTTCTTTGTTCCCTTTTAATATTAGTATTGAAATTTTCCAAAAGTTGGGCCCTGGCACGGTAACTGTGACTGCAAAATCTTCATTTGAAGAAGCTCTTTTAGGTCTGCAGAAACTGATGTCAGCTGTGAATGATATCCGTGAAGGAATTAGTAGGTAAGCATTTAAGCTCCTCATAGCAGCGAGTGATAGTAAGAGTCACCTAAAGTCATAAAAGTCACTGAAATATTTTGATGCCAAACTACAGTTTATTGTGTGTGGTTACATGACTTTCAGTATTAAAAAAAAAAGCATAAAAGACCATCCCTGCATTAGTAGCATTATAGCCTGCATGCTGTGTCTGATTATTTTACATACAGTGCACTAATAGCGGGATAAATCCTATCAAACAGAAATGGTGGTGATACCAGAAGACATTTTGTATTTCTCTTCGGTGAAAGCTACTTACCTCCTGTATTTTCCTTTAAGCAAGAGTTCTGTAAAAGTAAAAATATCGGAGAAATTTATTCTACAAAGATATACATTATTGCTAAGAGCCATTAGAATATCTGGATCAAAGCTAAACAGGATTCTGTCAAGTGGCATTATTTGAAATGGAGAGGCTGTTTTCTGTTCCAGGTGATTCCCATGACGCTCAGTAACATTGATGAAATAGCTTTAAAAATTCCTTTAATACTCTTTAAAATTTTCTTTTGTACCCGTAAACTGAAATACATTATTTAGACATTCAAGAGGATTCTCAGAGTGGAGTAATTTTACTGCGCAGTTGCATTTGGAAACGCCTGCCTCGAGTTTGTTCCGTAGATTTGCAGTAGGTTCCGCAGACTTGCAGTAGGTGGCATCGTGGAGCAAGGAATTCAGAGAGACACTGACATGTACCCTTCTGATTTAGTCTTGAGTGCTTAGAGCTTAGAGACTTCTGTGTAGGTTTTCGGAAGAGTCAGAAGTCATATTTATGAATCATTGTAGGTTTGTGTATATTACAGAGTATTTAAACAACAAAAGGAAGGGTGAGGCTCGTTTTGCCTAAGTTATTCAGCATTTCTAAAACTGAACTTACAGTATATTTTTTTTTCTTGAATTTTGAAAAAATACCTTCCAGTGGCTTATAGTCAGTCTAAAGGTATGATTGCAGAAAAGGAGGTATCTGGAGAAAAAGTAGTGAAGAAGTTCTAGCTGGAATATTTGGAGGTAATACAGCTTTTGGTGATAAAATAAAACTGTGGGTTTTTTTTTTTTCTACCTTCTATTTCTTGCTGTCCAGAACAAAGGAGAGAGAAACTGATCTGTGAAAGTTTGCAAGTTTTACAAATAAGTTACATTGAAAGTGCAACTGCATTAAAAATTCAGATTTCCAGATTGTTAAAAACAGAAAAGCACAATCACACTTTTTGAGATAAATGTGTGTAGTAACACCTTTCCTCATTAAAAAAAAACCAACAAACCTACATTAGTGGTACTGCCAGTGAAATTACTACAGCAATTCTTCATGACCAGAGGCATGTTTATGACAAATCTGGTCTTCGAGCCTCTGTCAGAGACCATGTTTATGACACATATAGATAGTAAAAAAATTAAATAATAATTAAAAAAAGCTATTTTCTGGAAGAAGTTGTATTAATGGCTTTTGCATCTTACCCTATTTTTGTATTTTTGTCATACTATTATCTTTGCTTCTTCCTTTAACAACATTGGTAGCAGAATGGTATTTATACTTTAGAATACTGCATGCCATAAATGTTTTACATTATTTCAGCTCTAAAATGAAGACAATAACTAGTGTGGTTGTGAGTTGTGTATAACCAGCCTCCTTCTTCCCTTGAGTAAATACAACTTCTGATTGAAAGGTTTGGGTGCACCTCTAGGGAATTTTATGTGTCCTCATGTTTCCTGCTCGAGTTACTTTTAGATAAGAAATCTTTGTTAACAGAAAAGAAAAAGAAAGTTTAGTCTTTGGTGAATTGATAGCTATTTATAGTTTGTTTTTTTTCATCTGCTGACAGAAATGATTGTTTTGTTCACAAGCCAACTCTAAAATCACTCACAATTTACAGCATGTATTCTTAGATACAGTACTTCTAAATATTTGTACTAATACAGCATCAGCTGTATTAAAACTATCTTTTAAGATCTCAGTAGCACAGGTAAGCATTACTGTACCAGAACTGATCACTAAATTGAATATTTTGGGATTAAATAATATAAAATCAGTTTTACAGTTTTACTAATTTAAAAACAAAATTCTACAGATGCAGAGAAACTGTTTCCTCTTTGTTTATTCAGGTGATCAGTAAAGGAACTAGTATTTTCATGGTGTCTAGTTAGAGAATTGTCTTCCTTCTCTCAGACTTCCATGGCATTTAGTAATTTCTATCAAAGTCTAGATTAAGAGCTCTACTTCCACATCTAGTCTCCTTCTGGAAATAAAATGGAGTTTAACTCCTAGTTCAAAAAGTATCAGACTTCCCTATCAGCAGCTGTTTGATTTTTATTTTTTTATTTGCTTAGGTGAAACCTGAAATGTTCTTGAGCCGCTAAAGGAGAACAGTTGAATTACTTCACATGTAAATTTCAATCTCAAAGTGCTGGGCTTTGTGCAGTGTCCCATAGTAAACAATTTGCTGTGAATAAGAAATTGACTGTTGGAAATACCACATTGAATCATTATACAACATGGAGTGTGGTTCCCTCTTCCTTTTCTTAGGGGTAGATATGGCTAACAGTGCTACCTACCCATCAGCTATCTTCTGATCCCTGAACAAGATGTGTAACATAATTTGTGTAACTCGTGAATTGTGAGCAAGAGGAGGTTTTACAGCATCCATGGAGCTTTTTAACCACACAGATTGGCACCACTGAGAGCAGGATTACGGTTAGATGACGTGTAAAGCATCTTGTGGAGAAGTGTTGTGTGTAGAAATGTCCCTCTCCAGGTGTCAGCACTGGTACAGGAACATCCTCTTAGTTACTAAGAAATCAACTACTTTACATCAGTAATAGCAGTTTCAGAGCTTATCTTTCTGTAGTATTGTATCCTTTAGTTTAATTATCATGGCTGATAAAGTTGAACATGCATAGTATCTGACAGAAGGTTTTCTCCTAGTTCTATCATTTCCTTTCCTACATGGATTCTTTGCCATCTCCTTTTATATTTGATCTTGCCTACAGCCTTCTCTGCTGCCAGGGCCAAAATCTGTCTTTCATACTTCCTCCTATTTTAATCAAAGCTGTAAGAAGTGTAAAAGTTTCAAGAACTCTGCCTCTGCCAAATACAGCTGAAATTGGCCAGCACTTCGCAAGGTGCAGGGCAGAGGTGATGCTGTGGCAGCTGCTTAAGCCTTGTTGCCTTCAAACCGTTCCAGAAAGCAGAAAAATTCGAATAAATGAGTTAGCGTGATAAAAGGTATGGTCCTTTCTGACCTTGTAAAGCTAGAGACTAGGCATCTAGGCAAAGCAGGACTAGGATCTGACATCTGAAGTACTTCCACAATAGAAGAAAGCATGAACTTGACTTCATTTTGGAAAAAAATCCCTTATTCCCCAATAGGTTTATGTTGGAAAAAAAACTCTGGCATGTATTGATCATTGTTAACACCAGTTTGAGTCCCTTATTGCAGTGCAGTGTAACGAGAATTTGTTAGTAAGCTACACAGAAGTTTGGTTTTCCATTTCTCATCTTTTTTGCTTCCTGATATTCTGACAGTGAGGTTAAATGGGGTTTTTAACAGGTTGAGTTGCCTTTTATACATTTAAACCATATGGCTTTTGATTATCTACACGGATTTGTTGAATTGGTTAATGCTTTATGACAGTCTTACCAGTCTTACGCCACAGGCAATTACACGGAACTGTTAAAGAGGAATGGCTCAGTGACAGATGCTGAGGTACAGGGGTTTGCCCAAATTTGTGATTACCCCATAGTCTCATAGGACTTTTATCTGTATGCTTTACTTGTCATTGCCCAGGATTTTAGTGTCTGTGAGCAGTTGGCAGGCTGACCTGCTTTCACTGCCAGATTGTCTTGCAAGTTGAGGTTTTTTTTTTTCCCTTCTGTTTTATAAGTTATTTTGGCGATCCTTTCCGAATAAGCTTTGTTTCTTTCCCATATCTTCTCAATTTACAAGTGAGGAATCGCAGCATGAACTATTTCCTATTAATTTCCATTTTTTTTATCATATATTACACTTCATACGTGCATTTAGCATCCAATTAGTGACAGGACAGTAAGTAAAGAACCATTCTGAGTGGTTTGGAAAGCTCTACTGCTTATGAGATGGCAGTGATTAAGTCTGACTCTGTCCATTGTCCCTTCTGTCCCAAGAGCAGTACCTAAGCTCTGTTGTGTAGCCATTGATACCCATAGTAACTTTTTGTGTCTTTCTATGACATGCTCTTCAATACCTTGTGCTAAAGATTTTAAGAAAACTGCCTGGAACCATGTTATATAGGTTTTAGCTTGATCAACAAATTGCATTCTAGTGGCAATCCAGGTTTCATGTCATCTAGCATCCTTGCCAACACACCTGCTCAGTGCATGATGTTTGGATTAAATCAGAGTTGAAGTTCATAACATGGAGTCGTTTTGTAGTTTGGTTTTGCATGGCTGTGCTGATAGGATAGGCAAAGTGGATTTCCAGTCTGCTTTTGAAATCCTTTTGACGTCATGTTTTGAGAGAAGAAAAAGCAATGGCTAATATTGCAGTGGTCACAATACTGAGATTTACATTACTCATTAGAAGCATTTACGTAAGAGCCCATTTGCTTCATGTATTATTAGAAGGTGTTCTTTAGTCATAGTTCTATAGCTGAGGCAGACTTGATTTCACTAAGAAACTTTGGTGAAAATGAGATCAGCTTGATTTAATGTAGTGGTGAATGCAGCGTTGATGTGCATGCAAGCATGTCTGGATTTCCCAATGTACATCATCTCTTAAAATTTCTGTTTTCCATAACACAGAATGGTGGCTACAGGAGAAGAAAGAACACAAAATGATTAAAACCAGTAGACAGCAGTGGTAGTGTGAAATCATTTCTTTGCAGACACAAATGTGTTGCTGATTTCTACAGAAAAATATATTTGAAGAGTGGAGCTTGTCTTCCACTTCTATTTAGTTGAAAACTGCAATAAGCATGTTTTATGAATGCTGGCCTGTTAAGAATTTGTGGGGGAAGTTATGGTGCAAGCTTTTTGTTCGGCCAGCTTCTTTCCAGTACTCCATGTGTAGCAGCGGTTCTTCCTTGAAAACAGCATGTCTTTTCTTTGAAGATATTGGAACATTTTGAGTCAAATGTCAGACATCTCATTTCATGTTACAAGTGCAGAAGCAATTGTTGTCATAATCCCAACAAACACCATGAAATAAGTTACAGGATTTAACATTGTTACTTGTATGCTTATTCTACTTCAGTTTTTGTTTGTTCTTTTCCCAAAGAACCAGAGGCACAGCTGGTTTGTACATCCACCTGAGGTCTGCTATCTTACAGTGAGCTAAACCGCTAATGTTAGCTGTTTGCTAATATGCTTTGATCATCAGTACAAAAATAAGTATGATTTTTCAATTTGATGCCCTGACGAAAAATGAATAAGAAGAGTAGTGAAGGGTACTTAATTAAGTATCTAAGGTGAATTGTTTAGGAAAATTCAATGGAATAATTTTTAAGTCTGTGGCATCCTAACTGGTGTCAAGATTCTGGTTCTCTAGTGATTGTTGGAAAGTGCTCCCTTCAGTGAGAAAAGATCAAATGGAGCATGTACAGTGCTGGTGCTTTCATGGTGTTAAGGGAAAGAACATGTAGGTAGCATGTTGGCTGCTTTCATACAGTACATTTAAAGATCTGTGCAAAACCAGGTGTCTAAATGTGACCTTCGATTTATAGTCTAATATTGCTTTGAAAATTGCTTTCAAATTAGTTTTCTTTAAATGTAGCCTTGCTAAGAACTGTGGAGTGAAACTTGAAGTTTCTAGACACTTCTCTCTCTTAGAAGGTTAGAAGTCAGGTGAACAGAGAAGTAGCCATGTGGAGATGCCCTATAGTCAAAGAGAAAGGCAGCACCATTTAATCCTGCCTTTGTGCTCAGTCTGTTCCTTCACCTTTTTGTAGCTTGCATGTACATTTTCCATCAACAAAATCCAGAAGCCCGTAATTAATACAGATCCTTCTCTCACCAGCTGCCCGTTCCCCTCACTCTCCATCCTTCCTAAAGAAAATTTAACCTGGCTCAGTTTCCTAGCAGCAGCTCAACTGTGGCAGCATCCTTACATATCCAGCAGTCTTGCATATGTGCACGTCAGGAAAAATACAGTGATGAACGTATTTTGTCCTGGCATATTGTGTAGCAACATGTAATGGGCATCAGTAACGTAATATCTTACCTTTAATGTTCTGTATGGTTCTGCATTCAGTTTTATTAAAACAAGCATGCAAGTTTTCCTCCTTTTTCATAAAATGGAAGGCATGAAATAGTGATATAAAAATCATCAGCAATAGCAATCCCACTTTCCCAGGTTTAGGTATACTCATTTATTTATGTTGCAGATGACTGGTCTGATAGCTAAAGCTGATGTATTATCACATACAGACAGGGTTGCTGGCTAATGGCTACATGGAGCTGGTCAGTGGGAATCTTAGCTGTGATGAAGTTCAAGCTGCCAAGATTCCCAGCGTTTCAAAGGATACTTGCCAGATTGTCTCTGCTGGGGTTTTATGCTGTCAGAGTTGATGGCTTTCTCACTGAGGCAGCAGCTGACGGTGTATGTAGGAAAAGTGGCCAGTTGGTTCTCTTGCCGATTTCTGGTTGGCAGGTTAAGTGTTTTAGTTTAAGAAAAAAAGTTCTGAGTGCATGTTCCTGTGAAGGGGGAAAGAATGTGGGACTGATTTTTGTAACAGTGATTCCTATGTGAAATCATGATGAAGATAAGCAGTGAACTTCCAAGTTACAATAAATCCTGCGGTGTGTCACAGTCTTCCAGCCTGTTTAAAAGACAGGGCCTTTTTCTCCTTTAACTGGGATTTTAACTTATTCTGTTAGTTTTCTGGGGGTTTATGTTGTTTGTTTTTTTTTTTTGTGGGTTTGTTTGCATTTTGTTTTGTTTTGTTTTCCAATTCCTAATTAATTCATTTATGAAGGCTTACAGTTTGTAAAGGGGAGGGTAGGGAGAATGTGGGCACTTTCCCATGGGAAAGTAAATAGAGCTTCCCAAAAGATTATTAGATTATTCCCCTCACAGACACACCCCCAATCCAAATCCAATAATTTTCTTAATCTTTAATTACTTAAGGCAGAATTTTATCAGTACTTTTTAATATATGTAAAGTGTTACATGTTTTTAATATACATTCTAATGTACATTTTGCAATGTTTAGGAGGGTTCTTTTTTTCCTAGTGAATGCAAATGAAGTTATGCTGAGGTATAACTGAATCACATCTGCTTAAATAGATTGGGATAATTAATTCTTGAGAGAATAATTTCCTTATTGGGTCACTTGTGAAGCCTTGCAGAAAAGGGTGTACATGTCTCAGAACTTAACAACACCTTACAGAGACATCAAAGCTGATGCTTTTTTCTTTGGGTGGTGTCTCGGCTTTTACATGGTGAACAAGGACTAGGTTTTGGGGAAGGCTGAGATGTCGCTGACTGCTGTATGCATCTGTGGCTAAATAAAATAGCAGTATTTCACATGATACTGGGTTCATCATAAAGACACCTCTCTTCAACTGTCAAATCCCATTTTCACCTCTCAGTGGGCGGGAATTGGTTATTATTAGAAGTAGCAAAAATGGTATGTAAATTGTAGCATTTGAGCTGCACACTGGAGGGAATGAGTTAAAGCTTTAGCTAGTGTGGGAAAGTTTTGTATTGCGTGCCACTTTTCTGTTGTTCCACATCCATACAGCAGGCTTTGCATATGTGAAACAAAAGGCTTTTTATTATTGCTGGTTTTCTTCCTGTCTATGTAGAGAAATTGCTCATAAAAACATCAGTTGAATTTTTAATTAGGAAGAACCCTCATAGAAAGTCCTCACAGACATAATAAGCTCATTTAATTCTTTTAGAGGAGTGGAAAGGGATAGGTGGAAGGGAAAATTCTTCAATGATCATAATTTACTTTTTGTTTAAAGAAATTAATTAGGGGATTTTTTCCCATGAAGCATTTCTGACTATTTTTACCTCTGCCATAGAATTCTTTTATACTTGCTTAAAATATCCCAAACCTTTTATTTTTCAGAATTTTGACCCCAACCAGTAGTTTCCAAGATATTTGGGCCCTCTATAACTTCCTTATAAGCAATGAGGTATGAAGTTTTCTTAAAGTTTTGTCAGATACACTTAATTTACAGTTTTTTATTTAAGGTAGTTATGAGCTTGGGTGTCTCATCGTTGTGTTTCCACTAAGCTAGAATTTTGAAGATTTGCTGTCATTTATTAGGCATTGGACATAAAACCACATTTTTTTGCTTGGCACCTACCAAAAGGTATTCAAATCTCTACTGGTATTTGAGTTACTTCCTTGATGTTCTGAGCACTCATTTCTTCTGAATGACTCGCTGTTGAGAGTAAAAGCCTCAAAGCTGAAGTCACCAAAACATCCCTAATCTAGTCATTTCGAGAAGAGAGAGAGCACATTGCATGAAGTAGTTCTGTGGAGAATATTGGCTGCAGTTCAGAGGAAAAAAGATAAATTGAAATTACCAGTTATTCATGACGTTTTAACTAATCTGTGCTTAAAGATTTTAAGAAGAGAAATTGAAATGAATGTTTGCAGTAGAATAGAGGTATTTTTCTATTCAGTATATTATGTATTCATATTTGTGGTCCTCTCTTATACAGGAAAATATATTTGGGGTTTAGGCCTATACTTATATTTATGGAATTAACACAAGTCAGAATTTATTTAATGTGCTATAGGGTAAATTAGGAAGGGAAAAAGAATTATTTAATTATTTAAGGTCTTTGAAATGGAGCTGGAGTGATATCTATCACACCCATTATATGCAATTATGTTTGTAATATTAGATTTTATAATACAGAACAGGACTTTTTAATGTAGTGTCTCAACTTGAGAGCCTGTTAGGTAATATGTTAACCATATCTATTAACACCAGCTGTATAATTTTAATCTATATTTGATACTTGATAAATAACTATGTTAATTTTTTGTTCTTTGTTTTAGGTAAATAACAGTATGAAATTCACTGCTGAGGAGCTTTATGAGTGTGTTTCACAAGAGATATATCGGTAAGTCAGTTACTGACTACATCCGATAGGGTTTGAGACAGCATTTTAGGACGTACTGGATTAACCAAAGTACCATAAGAGAAAACATTTGGATAAATAAAAAGCTGTCATTTGTAGGAGGGACATAGGGAAGATGAGTGGGGATGTTTTTTGCCATTCCCCGCCTTTCTTTTTACAGAACATCTTGTTACGAGATCTTTGCTTAAATCAGCAGAGGTAAAAACCCAAATGATTCTCAAGTCAAACTAGGCATATCTGCTCTGCAGTTGCTGTGTTACACTGGCCATCATTATGAAAGTTGTAATTTAAGCCATTGTGTGTTACTAAGCCATTTGTAAGTAAAGTTAGAAAGAAAAGGAGAAACAAACATAAGATTCCAAGTCCTTGTTTCCATTTTATGAGGCTTTTTCGCAGCTCAGCCACAGGAAAATAAATGTTCTGTTGTAGAGCTAAGTTAAAGGCTTTGAAAGCAATCTAAAAATGAGTGGCATGCAAACATTACAGTTCTTTACAGTAAAGGTTCTGGCTTGTACAAGGTCTTTTTTTCTGAATTTGTGTAATTGAGAGCTTGTAAATCCAGGTCCTGTAGGGTTTTTAAAATGCCGTAAGATTTTTTTTTTTAATAAATCTTAAGTGGATAATAAAAGGCAGGTAAGTATTTTCTTTGACATTGCTGTTACATGGATATGAGCAAGTTGTAATTTGCCAGGATTTGAAATGTGGTTCTGTGTGAAAGGCTTGCAGATTATTTTAATCTGAGTAGGCAGATTATTCTAAAAAGCTTTCCTTTCCCTGGATTGATACCAGTTTCCTAAATCTTCTATGAATTTGAAAGTGCAAATTGCAAGGTCCTGAGAGAAAAATTTTGCAGGAGGGAGTGATTGGACTGTGTATCAATGGAGAAAAATAGTTCAGAAGCTTAATTGCGTTGAGTTGATGACTAGCACTTCTGTAGTTCTCATATTTTCAAACATTTGTGGACAGCTCCATCATGTCTGTATTAAATCTGCAGTGTACGTACAGCCTTTGGTGGTGTGCTAAGGGTAGACAGGGAGATACAGTTTTTTGATGCTTGAAAAGAAAGATGTCCCTAGGTCTGCATTTTATTAGAAAACCTGAGTACTTGGAGCACTGTTGTGAATTCTGTGTGCCACAGTAGGTTTCATGGCCAAAACAAACATTCTCACCAGAGCTTTGATTTTCTGGAAGAGTGGTACAGAGTGACAATGATTTTTTTGTTACATGAAAGTAATGTCCTTTGAAAACATATAAAGGAAATTAAGCAAAGGTTAAGATCTGTTGCTATAAATTCAGTCCACAGATTTTCAAAGTACTACTTACGTCTAATTGTTGTTCCTGGTTCTTACAGCAATGAACCTATTAGGTATTGCAGAAGTGAAATAAAATATTACTCCACCCAATAAAACAGAGATGCTAAATGAAATCTTAAAAGCACTCAATTAAAAAGAGGTGTGCCAAGAGCAAAAGCACAGGAAAGGAGACTGCTTTAAGGCTGGCTGAATTACTTGTGCTTTGGCAGAAACATGCTGAACAAAGCGTTTCCCCTTGCTTCAATTACCAGTGAATGTTTTTACTTCAGCCTGGCCTCTTAATTCTCTGGGAGATAAATTCCTGTCTAGAATATTTGTGTTCTCACTGTTCCTTTTTCAGGATATGCCAAGGTGCTCTCATCTTAAGAATTTGATCCAAAGGGTTTCTTCTTGTCTGGAGAAGGAAAAGGACTATTTGGAGCTAAATAGCCAAAGCTACATGCAGAGTTCTCACTGCTTTTGTATCCCTAAGGGTTACTATGGGCTTTGGTATCACAGCAGCATTTAGAGGATGCCAGCCAATGACTAGAGTCCAGATCATTAGGATATAAATGGAACAAAAATGCCCCAGAGATCCAGTGTAACAATTCTTTGCATCTTCAGCAAATTCACAAAATAAGTTTTTCCATCAGAAACTCTTAATTGACTTTATTTTTTTCTGAACTTGCCTGGTAGATTCCAGTCTTCTTCCATAGATCTGAGTAGTGTTGACCCACCTCTCCTTTTCTGGTGGGGTGCTGTGTCCCATGTCTCCCTTTCCTTTCCCCTCCCTACTCCCCTCCTTTCACATGTCCCCTGTCTTTTATTGGTAGAGACTGAGATCTGGTGAGATTCTCCAACGAGAAAAATCACCCACTTTACTGAGTTAGATCTGTCACAGTTAACATCACTATTATGAGGCAAGGCAGTAGCCTGTGAGGAAAGAGACAGAATTATACAAAGGTGGCAGAGGGCAGGCCTGGCCACTGATTTCTTCCTCAGTCCAGATTCTTCAGGCCTGATAAATTACAGAATCGTAGAATAGTTAGGGTTGGAAAGGACCTTAACATCATTTAGTTCCAAACCCCTGCCGTAGGCAGGGACACCTCACACTAAACCATGAAAAGCCTAGCCTGGTGAGTCTTAATTGAATTCGTTTTTTGCCTTCTGAATAGTGGGAACACACTACAGTCCTGAGCTGCTTCAGCAGAAGAATTAGGTAGATTAAGGGAGGTTTAGTTAAAGCCCTTGTTTCTTCCTCTGTCCCTCACTCCCCATTCAAGTGGGCACTGTGAGCAGTAGGGTTGCTGGGTTGCAAGGGAAGTTTCAGAGAGATTGCTGTAGCTTGCATGGCAAGCAGCTAATGTGAATTCTTAATTACCCAGGGTACACTGTTGAGCAGTGAGCAGTGAACAGTTTGTATCATTTAATAAATGGCAGTTTGATGTAAAAGGTAAGTGGTAGAAAGAAATATTTTTTGCAAGCCTATGATCTTGTCATAACTAAGAAAATCTAGTTTATGGAGGGCTGGGTGTCCAAGTAGATTGCTTAAAAGTAATGTATGACTCTTGCACTGCTCTTCTTGCTATTCCATCTGATGCTTCTGTCTTATAGTAAACTAGCAAAGGAGGTGGAGGTGACTGTGTTGGCTGGCGGTTGGGAAGATGCCAATGCCTCAGGTCTGAAATGGGCAGTGACATGGGTGCCAGCATGCTTGATCCCTATGGCCAGGTATTCCGTGCTAGCCAGGGAGAGCACCCTGTGCCTCTCCTTGTCCTGCCAACCATGGGGCCAGATTCTGAGCGTGGTGTGGTCAAAGCAAGGGTTTGGTGTATTGTCCTGTTACATAGGCTGTGGCAGTGAAGCACAGGACTGCTCTCTGAGGGTACTAGCTGCACCAGCTGCAAACCTCATCCCCTTTTCTGATTCTTGAGAATCTTTTTCAGTGCCTGTGTACACCCCTTTCTTCCAGCCTGGCACAGCTGGGTGTCCCACACTGGCATCACATGTTTCAATGGAAGTTATCCACAATCCAGCATGCACCAGTGTTGTTACTGAGGGTACAGGAACAGCCTCTCTTGGCCTGACTAGCTTTATTTCTAGTTAATACAGTAAGTTAATACAGTAGTTTGATTCACCTCTTGTACTGTTCTTGGGTATAAAAGTCTGCATGTGATATCATACTATTTATAATTTTAACTGTTACTTAGAGACCACTAGAATGATGTAGGGAAAATTTTAATTGAGGTAAGGGTAATGAAACTGATGAGACACTTTTCTGTGCTAGTTTTAAGAGCTCTTAGTGAAAGCTTTTCAAGGCACTCACTGCCGCAGAGGGTTTATAACTTGTATTGCTGAGGCATCTCGATGTTCTCTCATTCTGTATTCAGACTGGACTGATAGCCCAAGTAAGTATACTGTGTGCTTACTACTGGCTGCCCAGTAGTACTTAACTCTCCTGTGTCAAAACTGAGTCAAGGTACAGTTTTTAGCTGGTGAATGACACTTGTTCATTAGGAGGATGGATGTTCTTTTGTCAGCATAGCTGTGCCAGTGCTGATTATTGCCAGAGAAACGATACACATTTAGACTGCTGCTTGTGATAGAATTCATCTGCTCTATTGGGCTGATCTCCCAAGCTTCTGTTACCTGTGAGAGCCAAAACATACTGGGAAGATAATAAGGTGCATTTCTTTTTTAAAAGCATCCTTTAATTTGAATTGTATTAAATATATGTGTATATGTATAGTATTGGGGTTGCGTGGCAAGCTTTGATTTATTTTCCTTTTCCCCTCACCAGTTGCAGTAGCAAATATGCTTGCAGAATACTCAAGCTTAAGTATAGAAATGAGGATTTGGTTGTTTTTTTTTCTTGCTGTTTAACCATTTTTAGTTTACCATCTAATTCCAAGTTCAAATAGAAAAACAAGAGCAGGTATTTTGGCTGTTTCACAGCTGGGAAATAGGCAAAACTGCACAGGGAAGACTGATCAGTCTGTGTGAGTAAATAAAAATGCACCAGGGCCTGCAGCAGTTCAGTGTCTGTCCACTGATTTTTATGAAATTGGACACGGGGAAGTGACATCCTGGATCTGGTCATTTTGCCAATAGCTATTGAACCGCTCTGAGGGATGGAAGCTTTGTTTTGCTTTCTTTCAGAAGAACATTGAAATTAGAGAGGTTTCTCATGTGTTCAACTAAACTGGCTGCTATTTAAACATCTGGCACTGTTTGCCAGCCTGACGTATGTTCCAAGGCAGGAATCACTGTGGTTACTGTAAATGCATGCTTAGGGGAGGTTTTGGTTTCCAAAAAAATGTTACAATACTTTTTTCTGAGTGTCCCATGTTAAATATTTGACCATAAGTCCCTTTATGACCAGCTAATTAAAACAACATTTAACTTGTGCAAGCATAAGCTTGTAAAATGTTGTCTCTGATTGGTGACACTCCACAGATTATCAGGAAAACGACAGATGTTGAGCAAGTGTGAGAGCAACAGGACTAGCTGCGCCCAATGAATACTGAAGTCACACTATTCCTGAAGCCTAAAATCAGTCTCTGACAATGTTGTAACTGTGGAGAGAACTTTTCTATCTGTAGCACACAAACCTGTAGGAAATGTGTAATTGACTTTCAGTTTAAACACAGTGGGTAAAAACCAGTAACTTTTTAGAATTAAAGGCTCAGGTTTGGGTTGAGAAGACTGAACTGATGACTGCAGTGTGGCTCTTCAGTTGTTCCTTTCTGAAGATTTCATTGCAGGATATAGCTGGGAGCATGTAATGATTACCCAGCTCTGTCATTTGTTATAAAAATATGTCTGGATTTCCAGAGGCACCAAGTATTCTCTGTTTCTGAGAGAATTAAAGCATGGTATTAGAATCCCTTTGAACTTTGTTTTAAAGGAATACAGGGCCAGATTCATGTCTATACAGTGGTCCATAGGGTCTTGGTAACCTTTCTGTCTTCTCTTCCCTAGGAAAAGGTTAGAAATTGGATGTTGCCAGCTGGTCCAGCTGGAACACACCATTAAGCAGTGCCATGCATCAGTTCAGACAGAAGCCAACAACAGGGGCTGGCTGTGACACCTGGGTGAAGGTTTGGAGCTCTGCTGCTCACCCCTTGCGCTTCCCTTGTCCAGGCAAAGTCTAACCTCTCTGGGTTATGTGAGGGAAATATTCGAGGACCCCAAAAAAATCTGCCTTCTGTTTTTTTTGATGGTGCTGTTTTGTATTTGATTTGAAGGGAAACAAAACAAGCAACTAGTTACAGGTATACATGAAATGCCAGGATTTCTGCTAAGAATCACCATCTAATGGAATTGTTTTGGTGCACAGCAGATGTGCTGGACTGGTGTTCTAAATTCCAGATGTTTTGAGCTAGATTTGTTAATGGTTGTATAGGAAAATCCATGTAAGGCAGTTGTTTGCTGAAGTGACAGGTGAGAAAAATAATATATTGTGACACCTGGGGCTCTAAAAGGACAGAAAGGAAAACAGCTGAATACCAAGACAGATACCCATAATGCTTGCTAACCCTGCAGACATGAAGGGCTAACATGCAAATGCAGTATGTAGCCTGTGTAGTGAATTACAGGATACATAAGAGGACAGCAGATGGGGAAAGAAAGAAATGGATTTATGCTATATATATATATATATATATATATATATATATAAAATTTTTTTTAACCCAAAACAAACCCCTGCTGTCATGCAGGTATGTTTGTCCTGCTCCTCTTTTGGAGGAAATGGATGTTTTTCCTTTGTTAAAATGTCTGTTTAATCTTCATACAGAAATCTGCTCTCCAGGTGCCACCTCTTTTGAACCAGTTTTATTGCTTTCCAAAACTGCTTTAAGCCCATGGAAACTTTCTAAAAGCCATTTTCAGTGCTTCTGTGGCCTTTTAACCTACCTCTTCTATGTATGTATTTGTACAGAGATGAGATGACCGCGGAGTTCTAGAAGCGTTTATTTTGATATTAACTTTTGGATGTATTTGTAAAATCTTCATTGTAAAAATATTATTTATTGTTACAGTAAATGGCTGTTAATTTTACACTCTTTGAGTAGCTGTTTTCACTTTGCCTAATTACTGTGGATGTAGTTCTTGCCCCCAGACACTTCAAAGTCATAGAGAAGCAGCTTAGTGGAGCAAAAAGCATTTTAAGGGCTATTTCCATCCAAGTTCTTATCCCAGCATTGAGGTAAGTTAGTTATGCACAAATAAGCTTACACTGGTAATTTGTATCCCAAATCTAAGAAGCTGGATCAGCTTAACCACATGATAGATGTCTGTCACATCTACTTCTGATACAGTGTATGGGAGGACAGCTGATGGATGAAGACAAGTACCATTATTACTTACTCCCATACTGACTGTTCCTGTTCAAATGCATCCAGCTTTACACCTTGGAATAATCAGTACATTTCTTTGATCTGATGGTTTCCTGCATCCAGTAGAGATGTTGTGGTCTGCTCATGCTCCCCTTCAGCGGGACTGCCTGGTCTTACGTGAAATGACTAGAGTTGGGATCAGAAAGCTGAACTAAGATGGGATGGTTGCTGAAATTAGTGCTGTCACTGGTGTAGCTTAATTTCCTAAAGCTACTTAATTAATGCTGAGGACCACAGGATCAAGCTCCTCACAAGAGTATGGGGTGCTTCTTTTCATCATACTCTAGTGTACTTTCTTCAAGTTCACTTTGGCCCCTTTCTCATCTCACCTGTGGAGCACCACACTCTCATCTGCACAGAGCTTTTAGCAAACTGAGCCTGAGAACAGCTTCTGAGGGGGTAAATCTCCCTCAGCCAACAGCTGGTTGTTCTCTAGGAGCCAGGGCTGGCTCTGAGCTCTCTGCCCACCAGAAGTAAGCGTAATGCTCAAGTTGCTGGTAGGAGGTGTACATCACACTTTAACCCTCTTCTACTTTGAGGAAGAGGATTCAGTTAAACATCTGTTGTTTGTGCTGTAGCTACATCCATTTGAAAGGTCTGTTACAGCACTGCAAACTTCTTATTAAAAATTACACCTTGTTAAAGAAGAGGACACGGACACACCACTGCAGCCCTGTGGTGCAAGGATTTCCCAAAAGGTACCTTTAATGTGTTTGCATCAGCAGCAAGCAGTCAGTGCTAGTTGGCACCAGGAGTTAGATGTGCAGCACTACACATTAGACACCAAGTCATCCTAACCAACATTTTATCCACAGGAATAGAGAAAGTGAACTAAAACATAGTAGTTTGAGCACATACAGAGTCAAGTTGTGTTCTGTCACCCTTTCAGCATGTATTATTAGAAAAATAAACTTAAGACAGTTACTAACCAGATGAACACATTTTCATTGCCAACTGGCCAGAGTTTAATAACCATGAGAAAACCCGCACACCAAAGTTTTTGTTTTACAAAGGTCAGCTCACCCAGAGTAACAAAACTGCTGTACAGAAAGCACCCTCTGCCTTTTTTGTCAAAATATTTGGAGCCAAAATAATTTCCCCACCCTAGAAAGTCACAGCTATGTTATGTTCAGAAACTCTATTCAGCTCTAACAAAGGTGTTGCATACTAAGTTACAATATTGTAGCAGAGGAAAAAGCTCAGAAGCTCATGTACAGTGGTAAATCAGTTGCCCCACTCAGTCTCTATGAACTCCAAGGTTGTCTTTTTGCTTCAGTAACCATTTATCTGCCATTTTCATTTCAACAGATAAAATACTCTGCTGAGTATATAAAAACTGTTATAAAAAGGCAATCATAAAAGATAAGGTATTGGCAGGTATGTCAGCTTTTTTTTTAATAAAAAAAATAGCCATTATATCTATTTAAATAAGGCTTATTACAGATTGTTCCAGTTACTGAAGGAAAACAAGGCCTGATGGAAAAAAAAACTATCCCCCGTAAACCTTACACTTCCTGCCCCAAGAACACATCCTACAGGAAAAGTCATCTAATGTGCAAAGTGACAAAACAAACACTGGGGGAAGCTCCTGCAATGATATGCCCAGTCCAGTTTTTCCTGTGTTGTCTTCAAAATCTTAAAAAACTCAACCCTAAACCAAAGCTGAAAGATACACAAAACCCCTTCATCTTGATATTCTTTCCAAAACAAATATGTACAGCACATTAATATGCAATATGCAAAAGCTCTGTGTTGCTGTTGGCAACATCTATGCCCTCCCCAACCCTATTCACATGTGTACCTCAACTAAAACACAATTATACCACTAAGCCTGTTAGTTTGAAGAGATAATTTAATTTGCTTAAAACTTGTAAATTTTTGTGTAGGGGCTCCATTCATTTGACTCTGGATTGTAGACTTCAAGCGTGTTCAAGAATTCATTGCCATCAAATCCCCCAACTGCATAAATAGTGTTTGCCACTGTCGTAATCCCAGCATTGCTCCTTGGAGTAGTCATACTTCCCATCATCTTCCACTCGTTCTTAGCAGGGTCGTACATCTCCACACAGCTCACTGCATGAGAGCCATCAAAGCCTCCACCAACAAAAAGTTTTCCTAGCAAAAGGAAGCAAAGTGAATGTTTCACTGCTAAGCACCGCCTGTGTCACCAAACACAACCCCTCCTTTCAGGGCAAACAAACTAAGCCAAAATGAAGGAACTTCAGGTTTTCTGTTAGAAACCTTTGCCTTACTTAAGGTTTGAAGTTACAGTATTGATCTGCTTTGGATCATTCAAGCTGACTGGAAGTTATTTCAGAGTAAGTGCAGTGTCCAAAGTCAGGCAGATGCAGCTCTAGAAACTGCATGGTGATGTTTTAAAAAGAAAACTGGTAGGGGTGAATGCCCCAAAACAAAAACTAGAGGTTTTTTGTTTTTCTGGTTACAATTTTTAATTAAAATTGGAGGCAAACATAGCCAGGTTCTTACTGTATTGTTTCCTTGCTGGGAAGGAAGGAAGCTTTGTATTTTACTCGCATTATAGCTTAACATGAAAGATTCATTAAGCATCAAGCAAGAGGTTGTTTAAGCACATGGAAACATACCATCACGAACAGCCACTCCAGCTCCTCGCCGAGCCACATTCATGGGCGCGATCAGTGTCCAGGTGTTGTTCTCTGGATTATAACGCTCTACACTGTTCAGGCAGTTCCAGGATTCTGCTCCTCCAATTATGTACAAATATCCATCCAGCTCACACACTGCAGATTGATGTCTCCCTACAATCAAAACACCAGGAGTTACAGCCCAGCGCAGAAGTCATGCACTAACACCATGCCACAGCAGCTGATATTTAAACAGTTTTTTGGGTTGGTTGGTTTTAAACCTGCAGGTTTGCAATCACTCCTCCCCTCCCCACTACACAACACACTTACGGATATTGAGAGGAGCACAGCTTGTCCAAGATTTTGTTATGGGATCAAACACATCACAGTTCTTAAGTCCTTTTTGGCCATAAGGATCCGAACCACCAACAATGTACAGTTTTCCATTCAGGGCACATACTCCTATTAATATAGGAAAAGATAACAGGTAAGCTAATAAATGGATATATTTTAAAAAACCCCATTCAGTCAACTGTAGATGTGTTACCTGCATTGCAGCGATTGGTTCTCAGTTCTGGAACAGGAGTCCAGTCATCTATTTCTGGCTCATACATTTCTCCACAGCTCAAGTCATCTGAGTGACCATTCGACCCACCCACAACATACAGCTGCCCCTAAATAGAAAAGATAAGATGCTTCACATCTAAGTACACAACAAAAATCATTAGCACTTTAGTAACTATGTAACTACAGTTAAGCAACATCTGTTACCATTTTGTAAAGTTTGCCCTGTTTGTCCCACCTACATTTACATAAAGTCACATTTCATGCGCTCTCCACCCAACACACACCATTAAAACTGCCATCTGGAACCGAGCTCTGGGTGTTCTCATTGGTGCAATGAAAGTCCAAGTATCCTTTTGCGGATCGTAGCATTCCACTGTGCGCAAACACTCTTCTCTATTATATCCACCTAAAAGCAAAAGGTTATATGATACCACATTTCCACAGACCAACAGCTTTGACACTGAAAAACACTGACTCCAATATAGCATACACAGTTAGGAAGTAACTGCCCTCCCCCATCCCAACCCAGCAAGTTGTTTAAAGAATTGTTACTATTTCTTTTACCTGCAGCAA